AGGGGATGCAAAAGGGTGTGCTAATTATAAAAAAATTATGTTGATGTGTCATACTTTAAAATTATGGGAGAGGGTAATTGAACATAGATTAAGACATATTACAAAGATTTCTCATAATCAATTTGGATTTATGTCAGGCATGTCTACTATAGAAGCTTTACCTTTATTGAGAGGTTTTTTTGAGAAGTTCAAAGATAATAAGGAGGATCTACATTTGATTTTTATTGATTTAGAAAAAGCATACAATAAGGTTCCAAGAGATATCCTTTGGAGAGTTCTTGAGAAGAAAGGTGTTGATATGACTTATATCCAAGTCATTAAAGATATGTATACAAGAGTTGTTACTTGTGCTCGAACTGAATTTATTTATGAATTTAAGAGTAATGAAAAGGTGAAAAAGAACAAGAGATTTAAGGGGAAAAAAATAACTTATAAAGAAATAAGAGAAACTGTTTATGAAAAATTGTTAATGCAGATGAGATTATCAGCTACATCAACATTTACATGCTACTAATTATTTAAACCCAAAATTTCATAATGAGAACTTTCATGTGGATAATGGGATTGAAAAGTTTATACGCATGCATAGATAGATTTATCCCTGACAATTAACAATATTTAAATTAGCATTAACTCAAATATTTTCATTTGAAGAATGAAATGTTTTGATTTAGAGTAGCGTAAATATGCTACCAAACATGCTCACCGAGTAAATTTTATTCAACTATAATTTTAAATCTAAAATCTTATGACTTTTCTAAGCTTTCTATCTTAATATTTATTAAAAATTTTATTTCTAGCTATTCTTAAACATTGGTGTGCACAAATTGGAAATGACATAAGTGATCTTAAAGGATTTTTGGTGAAAGCTCTCAATTTTATTTGTTAAACTTTTCAATGTGAGCGCAATTGGGACATAATCAACCAATTCATACAAAATAAAGGAACTAATTGGCTATAGGTTAAATGAATAAATTAGTTTATTATATGTTCAATAAAAATTGAAACAAATGCTTTAAGTTACAAAAATAAATAAATAATTAATATGGATAAGGTCGTTTGGTTATTGGGAATATACTATATGATGATGAAAGAAGAACACCAACAAATAAGAAGAGATTTGAATTTGATGATGAAGGAATAATCTTTAATAATGACAAAAATAAAGATATTAAAGCTAAAGATAAAAGGGAAAAAAGAGACTGAATTTTGAATGACTTGTACTTCATAATCATTTAAAGAAAGAAACAAAGTGAGTTAGGTCCTGAAAATAATCAAAAAAATAATTTAAGTATATAGAAGATTACTTAGATGTGTTACTAATTTGTCATTTTATTCATATTTGTTGACGAATGGTGCATATATATATATATATATATACCCACATTTTGTTTCATAATAAAATTAAAATATATTCATGTAAAAGATGTATTTCACTTCAAAAAACATAGAATGAATATTTTTATGTGCTTTATAAAAAAAATTAAAATTTAAATGTCATATATACAAATATATAAGAATTGAAATGTACGTACTTTTTTATATTAAATTTAAAACATCAACTTAGTGCACTCCATGGCTCAAATAGCTCAAGTCATTTTGATGCACCACATAGCAAATTGCAAATGGTGTCAACGGTGAGCCAAAGTGTGGCGCTCACCATTTTGCATCATTGATTTTATTAAATATTATATTTAACTCAATGTTAAATGATATAGAAAGTAAGATAAAAATTGTAGTAAAAGAAGAATATTTTGAAGATGATAATGAGAAGGAATTGAAGAACAATAGCGTTATTACAAATAATAATTCTTCCAAAGATGATGAAAGTAATGAAGAGGCCACTGTGAATCATAATCTTTGTAGCATATTTAAGTTTTAGGTAAGAATTTACTTTAAATCTCATTTCAAAATTTTGTATTTATATTAACATTTAGAATTAATTTTAATAAATTGTGTCTTTGAAATAATTAATAAAATGAATATGGTGATAGTTTATCATAATTATGAAGAGTAATGAAGAGGCCACTGTGAATCATAATCTTTGTAGCATATTTAAGTTTTAGGTAAGAATTTACTTTAAATCTCATTTCAAAATTTTGTATTTATATTAACATTTAGAATTAATTTTAATAAATTGTGTCTTTGAAATAATTAATAAAATGAATATGGTGATAGTTTATCATAATTATGAAGAGACATTTACATACATACCACACAATTATTATGTATTTACATATCTAACACCTAAACTTTTATATTTACATACAAAACACTCAAATAATTACATTACATCTAAAATAATATTATTACTTGCTTTTTAAAAATGAAATAAACCATTTCATGCTTCAGTTTATTACACAAGTGTTTTAAATATAAATATAAAATTTTAAGTATTAGATATGTAAAACACATAAGAATTGTGACATTCAAATACAAATTTTCATTTCTTAATTGCATAAAATTTTGAGTTTTTTTATTTTTCTATTTTGTGGTTTACATATTGATCTTCCTCAAGACTTATGTCTTGCTTTCCTAAGTCAAAATACCTCAATTCTCAAATTTTCCTTTCTAAAACTTAAGCATAAACATCATTTTCATTAATACTACTGAGGTTGGTAGGAGCATAAGTGTGAGAATTTGTTTTGAATTTTGAATTATTTTAAAGGTTCTAAACATTTTGGAGTGTTTAGATAGTTATCCTACCAACACTTAAACCAAATGTGATCATTTGGGCAACTCATACAAATGAATTGCTATGAATACAAATAGTCATAACATAGTGAAAGCATTATGTATCTATTTTTCAATATATCCATTTATATTTTATTCATGGATATGACAACAATACTTTGTTCAAAAAGAAGTTTGAGGCTTACGCCTAGAGGAAAGTCTCAAATTGAGGCGAGGAAAGTCTCAAATAAAAAAAAAAAAAAAAAAAAAAAAAAACATAGAGACTTGTGTCTTTGAGATGTACGCCTTAAGGCTTTATGCCTCGAGGCGTTTGAAGCTGCACCTCAATCAAGTTATGCAAAAAAATATAAATTATAATATATTATATTATATTATTTTTAATAAATATGATACGATTCCTCAAAAATGTCAAAAAAAATAATTTAAGTATAATTATTTGATTATGTTATAAATCTATTTTTTATTTTAAAATATATTGGATTTAAGATTAATTCATGGTGAAAGAAATTGAAATGAATGAAGAATATTTTAAATTTATTAATGACACAGAACTAAATGATAGTAAAGATGATAATTTGTAGCTTATGTCTTTGTGATAATAAATTAAATTAATATATCAATGATTTGTATTATTTAAAAATAATTTTTAATTTTATGATTTTTTTAGAGATTTACATCTCGAGACTAACGCTCATCTTGCTAAGAAAAAACCTCAACTCCCAATTGCCATTTTATATTTTGTTTAAACCTTCAATAAATTCCTTATAAAGAATACATAGAGAAAAATAATAAAATCATCCTAACTTTTGCTTCATTTATGGGTTGGATCAAAAGGATGTAATTTTTTAAAAATCCAAAGATTGATCCAACAATATAACAAATTGTGGAGCACTAAATTGTTCTTATAATTAAACTAAAGCAAGATCAAAATACCTAACAAAAAGACTTCCTTATGCAGAGTATAAGCTATAAAGAATGTCCCGCTATAATTTGGCTATCAAATTCGAGATGCGCATAGTAAAAAAACCATGTTAAACTAAACTAGTATCAAGGGCACCATAAACAACTTATTTTAATACAAAAGATTAGTGTATATTTAAGTATAATATGATAAAAATCTTATTGAGTCCTGTGAGACTAATAATTTGTTGGTTGGTTGCAATATGTGATGATTGAAAACATAAAATAAAAATTTACAATAAAATCATAAAACTCAACCATAAAATAAAAATTTACAATTTGAACAAGCAATAACATGCTGAAAATGAATTTCATGATCACTCCACTCTGAGGCCATACTCATAACAACACCATCCAGGCTCAAAACAACTGCCATAAACTGCAAATGGCACATCATTCAAATAAAAAGGGGCTCAAGCATTGCAAATATACCGAAGGAGACAATTTTACACATTTTACCATCTCTGCTAACTACAAAGGACAATTCAAAATGAATGCAAGGACAGAGGACAATCCTACCTTAAACCATAGCCACTAGCAACAGTATGTTCAAATTTATAAGAACACCAGCAATTTTTATATATTTTTTTTTTCAAGGCAAAACCACAACATAATATATTGTTATTATGATTTTCTTAGGAATATCATATTCTTAAGAGCTTTCATGTTGAGCATAAGTAGAATATATAAAATTTGAAAACATATGGAGGCTAAGCTACATTATAAAACTTCCAAATTTATTATTAGGAACCAAAAACCACAAAAAATTAAGGTAAACGAAATGCACCTCAAGGCAACATTAAAGGGGAAACCAAAACGAACCATAATCCCAAGTGGCAGTAAATATGTAAAACACCAGTGAAAAAAAAAAATTGTACATCAACTCAACCAAACATTAACGGAAAAAAAGGATAATTGTGCCAATAATGCATCAACAGGGAGTTGAAACAGGTCTCAAGTTAGCTAAAGGCTATTCCGATGATACTACTGATCCGCATATGGCCATAAACATCACAAAATTCTAAGAAACTTACACCGTATAAAGAAAAAAAAAAAAACTTGATAGTATTCTTTAGGACACGGCTTAAAAAAATCTACATACAACCACCGCCATCACTTTAAGTAAAATTAAACCAGAAAATCTCGATGAGAAGAAACGGATGTTTTAGAACGTCAGATCTAATGCAAAAATAACTGCCCAACAACAACAACAAAAGAATCAATGATCCAAAAAAACAGTAAACGCTTGCTAAAATTAACAAGAGAAACGCGATCAGAATGGAAAGAACATGGAGAAAAGCTGTAATCATCTCAGCCACGCGGTGCTGGAGATTAAACGAAGATACCTTTTTCACGGCGCAGCCAGGAAGAAACCCTAGTATGATGCGAGACGTCTCAGGCAAATGAGGAAAAGCACAAGTTTTAATATATTGTCTGCTCGGCCGGCGGCTTGAACGCGTACACCACAGCCGGTTAGCGAGAGAATATGGGCCTGTATCATGGGGCCTAAAATGGAGGCCCATTGAAATAATAGTTAACCAACATTGTCAATACTCAAAAGCAATTATTCGTTAATAAAATTGATTCAAATTTATTCATATTATAATAAATCATTCAAGTTATACCTAAAAAATCTTTATACTAATAATTCAAGCTCCAGCTAAAAATCAACACACTGCAATCCAAGATTTATTCATATTATAGACAAATGGGTTCCAAAAAATAAATATCATTTAAGATTTTATTTATAGCAAAAAAAAAAATACTCATGAATTTGAATATTTGCACATCAAATTTGACCTCCAAACCTAAAATATAATTAGAAAAAGACAAGTTAAAAATTGTATTAAAAATGTATACATTAATAATAAATGTATCAATAATAATAAGTTGAGAAAATAAATAAATTAATTGTACTTACAAATATTTTAGGCAATTGGATTACAAGACTATCTCTAAGATCAATCATCTCTTCTATAGATAAATTTTTAATTAATAGAAAAAAATGGTTTCTTGGAGGTTTCTTGGAGTGTCTTTGTTTTCTTGTCGAGTTCCGACCTAGGTTTCGATTTGCAGTGAGTTTTTGGGTTGGATCTTCTCGAACTGGCATATTTCATGGCTTCGGTTGCTCCATCTTTCAAGGATGTAGTTGCAGGCAAGCAATATGATTCGAGAGAAGTGCGTTTCTCCAAGGATTTTCTTAGCCAGATTACCAAAAATCCTAATGGGGGTTTGCTACAAAGGGCATCTCGGAAGATAGGTAAACTTGCACTTCTTTTTTCTGAAGAAGATACAGGCATTCTGACTGAGCCTTTAGGATTTACACTAATTGGTAAATTTTCTTTTGATCATCCTATAATCGAGGTTATTAAGAAATTTTTTTCTGAGTTAAATCTTCCTGGTGGTTGGAATTTGGGGTTGATTGATGGTACAAATCTTATGATTAAATTACAATTAGAAGAGGATTATACCTCTCTATTTGCTAAAATGGTTTTGACCATTGAGAAGTGCTATCTGAAACTTCTTAAATGAACTCCTGGTTTCAATCCTGCGGAAGAGCCCCCTATTGTGCCTATTTGGATAAGATTTCCCGTATTGAAACTTCACTAATTTAATCTGAAAGTTCTTTATTCCTTAGGATTGATTTTTGGTAAGCCATTGAAAATGGACTTGGCTACGAGCACTTTGTCCAGACCCTCGATGGCTCGAATATTGGTTGAACGCGATGTAACTTCTATTTTTCATGATTCTATTTGGATGGGAAATTCAAATGATGGCTATTGGCAGAAAGCTGAGATGAAATTTGTCCTGCATTATTGCATGGAATGCAAGATGTTTGGACATCTTCTTTCTCATTTTTACAATGCTCGTCCTGAATTGAGAAAATATAAAAATTATAATGAAAAGAATTTTAATGGTTTGCATCCCACATCCAACTCTCCTCAAAATATTCAAAATAATAAGAATGTTACCACTGATTCTTTATCATGTTTGATAATAATCATATTGTTGTGTCAAAAGAAAAGAATGTTATGGTTTCTAAAGTTGTTGATCATTCTTTGATGTTGGTGAATGATTTTCATGCTTCTGCTAATACTTCGCACAATACTGCTAATAACGAGAATTTAATTTCTCATGTGATGGTTTAAGATTTGAGCAATATTGCTAAGACTGACAAAGTTGTTTCTGTTCAATCTTTAGATAATACACATTTTTTTTATTTTTGATATGAATGTCGATATGGTAAATAGAGAGATTGATAATTTTCTATTGACTGAAAATGCTTTTACTTCTACTACTAGTATTTTGACGAATAACGAAGTTACTGGAAAATTACTTTCTAATGAGCAGATTAGTGATTGTTGCAATGTTTTAAATTCTAGTGATTTGAATGTTGACAAGCAATAGAATGTGCATCTTAGCCCGATTAATGAGGATGGTCCTGCTCTTACTCGAATGGAATATGAGGAGGATTGGATGATCCAACGATCATCTAGAAAGAGAAAATTTAAAGGGTGTCCTGAATTGAGTTATGTTAATCCAGAGGCTTTGCATGAGCAATTGCAAGGAAAAGAAATTGATAAGTCTGAAATGGCTACTGTTACTAGATCGAATAAGGGAAAGATTGTTCTTGATGAAATTTAACACACTTGTTTGAAACATTAGAGGCATAGTCTAATGCTACTAAAGAAATTTAACACACTTGTTTGGAACATTAGAGGCATAGTCTAATGCTACTAATAGACTTCATAATCTTATTCGTGCTTGTAATTTAAATTTTTTTTAGAATTCTTGAGCTTATGGTAGCTATTGTGAATAATGATTTTTATTTACAAAGATTTGGCTTTCAAATCTCTTACTAATATTAATAATAAAATTTAGTTTTTATGGAAATATTTTTAAAAGATTGATATTCTTATTAATCATTCTCAACTTTTACATCTTCTTATTCAATTTTCTCAAACTTCTTTTCTTTTGACTATCATTTATGCAGGTTGTACTAAACAAGCTCATTCTGAACTTGGAATTTGATTAAATCTATTAATCCTTCTAATGAGGATTGGCTTATGGGAGGTGATTTTAATATTATTTCTTCTGCAAATGAGAAGAAAGGTGGAATCACTCCTAACTTTATGAGTATTAATGAATTCAATGCTACTCTAATGGACGTGGGGCTTTATGATCTGGGGTTTGAAGGAAACCCTTTTACTTGGCATAGAGGAAAGATTTTTGAAAGGCTTGATAGATAAGTTCCCAATTCTAATTGGATAATTAGTTTTTCTATGCATACTATTTCTCACTTAGCTATTGATGCTTCAGATCATGCTCCTATTATTTTAAAAATAAGTGAAAGTAATCATATTATTCAATACCAGTTCAAATTTTATAATATGTGGATTCTTCATGATAATTTTAAAGTTTCTTAAAGACAATTGGAAGATTCAAGTTTCTGGCAATTCTGGTTATAAGATTTGGACTCTTCAAAAATATCTTGTCAAAGCTCTTGAGAAGTGGAATTGGGATGTTTTTTGGCCATCTTCAAGTAACATTGATGCTCTAAAGGAAAAAAGTTATAGGTTTGGAAATAGATTATGCTAATAATAATATAGATTGACATGCTTTTTTTTAAGGCCAAAAACAGTTAATTGAAGCTATTAATTTGGAAGAAAACTTTTATGCTCAAAAAGCTGCTGAGACTAACTTCTTGAATGGTGATAGAAATATTGTCTTATTTCACGCTTGCATTAAGAGTCAACAAAACGCTACGAGGATTATTAGTATGGATGGTACTACTTTACATAATTTTACTGATATTTCTATTAATGGTGTTCAATATTTTTCTAATGTTTTTCAAAGTAATGGTAGTCCTTTAATCCCTATTAATAGAACTCTTTATAATAGAGATGTCAATATCAATAATGATTTGCTTACTAGTATTCCTAGTAGTGCAGAAATTAAAGATATTATTGATCTTATGGATACGGGGAAAGCTATTGGTCCTGATGGTTTAACAGTATAATTCAATAAACATGGATGGGACATCATTCATACTGAAGTTGTTGAAGCTATTTAAGACATTTTTAGAGGCAAGGATTTGTCGAAATATTTTAAAACCTCTAATATTATGCTGATTCCTAAGGTGTGTGATGTTAATAATTGGGATGCTTTTCGACCTATTAGTTTGAATACGGCTATGTCTAAGATTATTTCTAAAATTGTGGTTAAAAGGTTGCAACCTAATCTTAATGATATTATTAACATGAATCAATATGCTTTTATGAAAGGTAGGAATATTTGCGATAATGCTCTTATTGTGCAAGAGCTTCTCTTGGATATTGATAAGAAAAGTAAAGGGGGAAATGTTATCTTTAAAAAGGACATTAAAAAAGCTTTTGACACTATTCGTTGGGAATTTATTATTGGCATTCTTAAAGCTATTGGTTTTAATAATGTTTTTTGCAAGCTAATATATATAATTCTCAATGACAATTACTACTCTCTTCTTATTAATGGGACCAAGCAAGGTTTTTTTCAAAGCTTCTAAAGGTATCAAATAAGGAGACCCTCTGTTACCTTATTTTTTCATTATTTCATTTTATTATTTATCTGTTTGCTTGAATGGTTTATTTACTTCCTATCCTAGTTTGAATTATGATCATAAAGGCAATTTAAGTATATCATATTTGTGTTTTACTGATGACTTGATTCTCTTTACCAATGCTAATAAAAATTCCATTAAAAGAGTTTGGAATGAGATTTTAAAATTTCAGAGTATCTCTGGTTTATACTTTAATACTTCTAAATGTTCTTTCTACTGTTCAAAAAATATCAATGTTTCTAAAAGGAATTGGATTATGGATTTTACTGGATGTAATAAAGCTTCTTTACCTTTAACTTATCTGAGTTTTCATATGGATAAAGGTAAGAAGAAGAGTGCTTTTTTTTTAGCTTGGTTGATAAAATTAAAAATAAAATTTTGTCTTGGGAAAATAAATATCTTTCTTTTGGTGGCAGGGTGACTCTCTTAAAAGTGTTCTTACTTTTTTCCCTCTTTATACTCTTCAAGTTATGGTTATGCCTTTGAATGTTATTAAGAGAATTGAAAATCTTTTTAATAAGTTTCTGTGGGAAGAAAAAGGTCATTCCAGAATTCATTGAAAAAGTTGGAATAAGCTTTGTAAACCTATAGAAAAAGGAGGTCTTAGTTTTAGAAGCTTAAATGATTACATTAAAATCAATTATATGAAATTATGGTATCATTTTTGTTGGAGTAATTCCATTTAGGCTTCTTTGATGCATGTCTAATATAGCTTTAATAGGAATCCTATGTCTATTGCCTGTAACAAAACTAATTCTTTTATTTGACATGAAATGCTTAAGTTTGCTAGAAATATTGAAAATCTAATTTGTTGAGACATTGGTAAAGATGACTTTTCCTTCTGG